GAGCAGTCCGTGCGGTCAACGAATCAACGATACATGTTTTGCCCAGCATTAAGCCGATGGTGGCTCTCTGTACGGTCAAATTTCCGCTCTCACTTTCCGCTTTCCGCATATGTCTTATGTTTAGCAAAATAATGACCTTTAATGACTTATAGTTTCGTTCAGAAAAGCGATAAGCAGATAAGGAAGAAAGAGTTAGAGCCAGCACTTCATGCTTCATCTAACGGTATGCGGCCTGTTTGGATTGACCACCTCGAATTCTGACCATTCCTTTGTCAGGCCTAGAGGTAATGTGATTTGCCTTTATCCTATTCTCGGTCACCGTTTTTCCTCCATGATGCTGTCATGGGCTTGAGATTAAAGTTCCGCAAATACTGTATGACACTATATGAAGTGTTTGCAGGCGACAGCTACATAAAACAAGAAACTGCTGTCGGTTGAGCCATGTTGAAATCAGATGGAAGGGAAAGGAAAAGTTGAATAAAGCTATAGTTTTCACAGCACAATCAAAACGTCGTGTAAGACAATGACTCTGACCCGGAGACCCAAAGAAACAAGATCCAGCTGTCGAGGTTTGCCTTGTAAAAGAATTGATCAAAACTTATAAAATTATACTCTCGAACTGCGCCTGCATAATTTAAACTTGCAATGATTCAACGTGTTAAATATGGAAAGGAACCGAATTATTGAAATTTAGAGAATATCCTGTTGGAAGGGGTTACTCCTGTACCTTTTCTTGCATTTTCATTGTGCATTTTTATCTTGTTTGAAATGTTCTATAGAACATCAGACGTTCCGAAATTGGCAAAATTCTGCTCATCTTACATGCGTATGTTTCTTAGTTGTTGCAGAGAATGATAGAAAAATTAGTAAAAGCTTTACATCAAATTTATTGAAGCTTGTATCACAGCGTCATAGAGTATAGTTCAATTTATCAAGAATCGTAAGAGATAATATGAAACTGAAATCATGCCTATCCCGAGAGACAAAATAAAAATAAATGGCCATTGCTCGGTCTGATGACTTGCTGAGTTGTTCTTATCCTGTCGAACATATTGATTTCGCCTTGCGAAAAATAGAATATCTTCAAAAAGAGCAAGTTTTTTCTCAGATAGCACCATCTGCTTTTGTGTCTTTTCGTCTTCTGACAACTTGCTCAAGCCAAGCTGAAAAGTCTGACATTATTTTTTTGAAAAGTAGAATTTATATTATTACATTGGCGACCATATCGAAAACGGGTAGTAACAGGACGCCTGCTATAGGGAACATCCGTCGGTAAGATTCTTTGAGCTGCAAAGGAAAACAACCAAGCGAAATTCAATTGTGTACTGCTTCTACCGTAACTGCGTACTCACCTGATCGAGGGAGAACGGAAGCTCTTTAAGACAGTATTTCTGCATATATTTGTAAAATTCTTCAAGCAAGGGTTCCCAGTTTTCTCGACGATCTTTTCCGCTCATTGTACTGATAAAGAGACGAGTGAGGTCCTCTGCAGCACATCCAAAATGTGCTAACTGTAGTAGATTTATTAGTTGCAAGCCGCCTTACGCTCAAATCTTCTTCACTCAGATACACACTCACCACATTGAAAAGGTTTGAAATTTGTTGGAAATTATTATTTCATAATTTCATTTTTGGTCTATACATTCGATGGCTTCGCTACACTTGTAAATTCATACCTACAGGGCTGTCCAGGCAAGTCTGATTAACTGGATTTTTTACATGGATTAAGAGAGATTAAGAGAAATGGACTAAAGATTGTTCGATTTTTGGCCTCGAAAGCAGTGTCCCGGCAAAAATCGTTTTACAGTTTCTTACCTTTTCGGCGTTTTCCATAAGCAACTCATGTCTGGGCTTTTCCGCGCATAAAAGCTGAATTTTTCAAGGCTTTTTGAGTCCGCATTCTGTGAAAATGCGCCCAAAATCTTCCGCGCCCCGCCTTCTTCAATTCGGACTCCGCCCACGAGTATTTTCCATTGGATGCGGACCTGCAAACCTTCGAGAAAGGCCTATTTTGGGCATTTTCATGCGGATGCCCAGATATGGGTTCATCATGGCGAGAAGGCTCCGAAAAAAAAACTGGAAAATGAAATTTTGCAAGGACGCTGCCTCCAACATTCAACTCTGAATTCTCTCCCGTTACCGTACCGGGGATCCTGATCCCGCAGGGAAAGAGCACAGTAAATGTTCAGTCATGATTGGCTCGCGAACATGTTTCATTGCGAAACCAAAGCTTTGCTCCCAAAAAGTGTTGAAAAAGAATGTTTTGATAATGGAAGAAAAATTGAGCAGATGAAGCAAAGTTTTAGTTTGTAGCAAAAATTCATAGTAAGTTAAGTGCACTTTTATTTGCGCCTATAAGAGCAGCGTAATTTTTCGTTTTAGATGACTTACTCTTTGAAGGTAATGATAATGTTGGTTTTTGAAAAAAAAAACAATTGCAAGATTTGCTTAGCAAATTGTGCGTTTCACAATTTGTCCATCCATGTAAATGTCTTAACTGCTCCAACTCCAACTAAATACTCGTCCCTAACTTACTTGATAATCAACTATCTTGCTCAGTCTCAGACCAGTTCCTGCACTTGTCCAGATCAGATTCGCTGACCAGAGATCACCGTGAACAAAGACGTCTTGCATGCCTGTTACGCTACTTTAGGTGAGCTAGAGCATTTTTCCAGATATGCAGGAATGAGTCGACAAACCTAATTCTTTATTCAAAGTGGATGTCAGCTCCAGATCAACGATGTCAGCCGTCATTGTCTCAAGCACCTTTCCAGCCGGTTCAAGCTCTGGAGCTGCGGCATACATGTCTTGAAACATCTTGGATACAGCCTGTAAGAACGCTTGTTATTAAAATTTTCT